ACACACACACACACACACACACACACACACACACACACACACACACACACAAACACCTAAATTCTTCTTTATTCTTGATTTTTTAAAATTTAGTAGAGATTTTTCGGCGCTCGCAACAGCATAATAAGGTCATATGAGCGCCACTAAATTCTTCTCTTATAATATAATGACAGTATAACAAAAGCAAAAAGCTCACCAGCGGGGTATAGAAGGCCGAGCCCTCAGCTCCCAGAGCCACGTAGCCCTGAGACACGGCCGCGGCGTAGGCAGAGGCGCTGTACACACTCTCCAGGGCACCGGGGGGCAGGGCGGGTGGCCGCGGGTATGACACTAGGCCAGCGGGCGGGTACTGGCAGGAGCAGACGGTCTGACCCGTATGGGGGTCAGTCAGGATGGGTCGTCCGTTCTCGCAGCACGCTCGGTGACTGCTGGCTGATGTGGGGCTGGTCATCTGAGAAAGACAAGAAGGTTATGAATATAATTTTTTTCTTTCTTTTTTTTAAAAAGTATTTTACGGCGCTCGCACCTGCTTAAGATTATGAGCGGGAGGGACACATTAAATATTTTTAGTTGCTATGAAATTTTGAATTTTGCCCGGGTGGCGGCCGAGGTCTACTCTTATCGATTTTAGACCACCAAGGGATCTTTAACACTTGCACACGGGACCCCCGAGATTTTTTTGCCCTTGTCCGTGAAAGAAAGGTGCAGATCTTTCCTACCAGAAGATCAGGGGTGTGGTTGAAAGACAAAAGTAAGAAAGAGCAAAGGAGAAGCAGTAGGAAGACAGCAGAAAGTGTCAGGAGCCCAGAGGAGGGGGCAAAGGAGGTGGGGACAGAAAGTGTGGAAACGAAAGCAGACTACAGAACATTGCAAGAGAGTAGGAAAGGAGGTGAAAGGAGACAATCTTAGAGAAGAAAATGTTTTCGTCGCTACCTGGATTCGAACCCGGGACCTTTGAATGAGAGGCGAACACCCCTCAGGCCACGAGAGTCCCCGAATAGAATACTGAGAAGGGAAAAATGGTTATATTTATTTGTAGAATTCCAAGAAGAGCAAAGATGTTATAAATTCTAAGAAGGACAATAAGGAGGCTATAAATATGATGTTGAGAAGGCGAAGGGGGTTATAAATATATTCTGAGAGGGTCAAAGAGATTCTAAATGGAATTCTAAGAGCCTTGGAGAAGGGTCAATATACCAATTTAATTTACTTTCAAATTTTAACATCGAATAGATAAAACGAGGTGTGAATTTCAGTTAGAGTAAATAATCCAGAGTTTTTGTTTGCTTATCATTAACAAAAACTCGATAAATTGTGTGCATCCCCCCAATATAACACTCTTGTTGCTTTAGAGTCTCTTGGTATAGAAAGGTTTTTCAATAATTATAATGAAAATAAAAGTAATAATAACAACAATAATGATGATAATAACAATAATAATAACAATGAAAATAATAATAATAATAATGA